GGCATTCGGCACCGATTCACCTCGGTTGAGCACCCCCAGTCTAATGGGAAAGCCGAGGCGGCCAACAAGGTCATATTGACAGAATCGAAGAAGCGACTAGGTTCAGCAAAAGGAGCGTGGGCCGAGGAATTGCTGGAAGTCCTTTGGGCATACCAGTGCACACCACAGTCAACCACCAAGGAGACGCCTTTTCTCCTAACATATGGCGCCGACGCAATGATCCTGGTCGAAGTAGGGGAACCATCATTTCGGCAGCTACACTTCCATGAAGAGTCCAACGACAATTCACTCCGAGCCGAACTCGATGTTCTGGACGAAGTGCGAGAAAAGGCGCAGGTTGTGGCCGAAGCTTGTAAACAACGAATGAGCCGACGCTTTAATTCCAACTTAAAGCCGAGGACATTTCATGAAGGCGACCTCGTATGGAGAGCAACCGGCTCGGCTTGACAAGTGTTTACTTCGTTCGTTAAATTTAGTATTGCTCAATACAATCGATGAGAAACCAAATTAAAATTTCATTAACGGCTCTAACGGCCGAGCAGTACATTAAAAGGGCACTATCGACCCATCCCTACAAAGAACTTAACAAAATCTAAGACGCCACCTCCGGTTCCCCCTGGACCGGACCATCTTCTGGTGCACCCTCCTCATACGCCGTCTCCTCATTCAGCCCAACTGACCGTGCCGGAGCCTCCTCGTCGGCTTGTTGGCCTTGAGGGATGGAGGTTAAGTCCACCAGCTTGCCTTGATTGAAATCCTTGGTCATATCAAGGTGAAACTCAGGAGGGAAGTCGCCAAAGAAGCAGGCCTACTAAGCCGCATGGGCGAACCCAGCCTGATGCTGAGAGAGGACCTTGTTGCGAGCCTTCTCCCTATAGGCACCGAAAGCCAGCTTCTTAGAGTCCAATTCCTTGGCCAGTGTAGCACCCTTCTCTGTCTCATTCTTCAAGGCCATCTCAAGACGTTGGACCTTCAAAGCCAGGTCATCAGCAACTCGCCCCCGGCGATCCAGCTCGGCCAGAAACTTACCATTGGCCGTTTGGGCGTCAGTAAGCGCCGCCAACGTCTCTTGAAGAGACTTCTCCTGCTCCGCCAATTGCCGACGCAGTCCATCGGCCTCGCCGTTTGGCTCCATCACATTGCTCTGCGCCAAGGCCACTGCTCGCACTTGGAACTCACAGAAGAAGCCCCATTTTTTAGCTGAGCTCATCCGGCTCAACAACCCTTGACCTGATTCTGAGGTCAAATCCTGGCTCAGAAAATCTTGGGCATTGACGTTGTTGGCCAAGAAGCTTAGCCCAACCAAACCCTGCGGAACGGTCGGGTTGGCAAGACGTTGTTGCTTCGCACTTAAGGGTACCCATTTTTTTTGTTCAAATTCCCATGATTGGATTAATTAAATAAAAAATATTAAATACTAAACCCTAAACCCTAAAACACCTAAATCTAGTACTTTTTGTTCAAAAAAATTTTGAACATAAAATGCCTCCTCCCTAATGACTTTCTTTTCAAATAAAATTTCACACTTAGAATGTTTTAAAAATACTAAAAAATTAAGTAAAACTATAAATATTATCTTAACTCTACAATATAATAAAATTAATATTTAAATTTATAAACTTAAAATTTAATAATGCAAATAAATAAATATAGTTTTAAAACTAAATATTAAAATAAATTATAAATATTTTGAGAATTAAAAATTTTTTGAACAAAAAAACATTTAGGGCATAGGCGTTTTGAAAATAAATTTATGTTCAGAATGTTCAAAAATACTAAAATAAATTATAAATATTATCTTAAATTACATATATAATAAAATTAATATTTAAATTTATAAATTTAAAATTTTATAATAAAAATATAATTTTTTAAACCTAAATATTAAATTAAATTATAAAAATTATAAAAGTAAAAAAAAAAATTGAACATAAGACATATTTTCCTAAGTGTTTTATGTTCAAAATTTTTGAACAAAAAGTGTATAGGAATAGGCGTTTTCTATTCAAATTATGAGATGTGAACAAAAAATATTTACCCACTAAGTACTTTCTGTTCAAAATATTTTGAACAAAAAATGTCCCATTCCTTTAACATTTCTTACCCAAATATTTTATGTTCAAAAGATGTTACTTCCTAAGACTTTTTTTTTAATTCCATGTCACGTTAGTACAAATTATTTATTATACCAACGTTTCTTATACTCATATCTTTTAACAATATATCAACATATATTATATTTATTGTACAAGTAAAAGTAACTTTTAGTGACA